AGTAATCAAACACACAGATTATGACCTTCAGAAAAATGAGGCATTACTCTAGAGAACTTCAAAAAACATGATTTTATTTCTCAGAAATTGTAAGCCAGCCAGTGTTACAATAATCTTTCATCCATTGCTCCATGTAACCTCTTGCTGCCTGTATGGCTCCATAATGTGATGGCTCACAGGCGAAAAGAACAGAACATGTCAATTCAATCACAGATTGATGGCAAATGCTATTTTAAAATGAGTGAGCTCGAAACATCATCCACGTCGTCTGGCAATACCGCTTTCTTTCGTGCCTTCTGAAATGGTTTTCCAGGTCTGTATGTTTTGAGTCTGGAAGAACATTGTGAAGTTGTGTCCCAAAACTGCAGACCACCCCTAAAAAAAATCCTATTTAATTAATTTGTCTGTTATACACAGTGGGATGTACTAATAAAACGATGGTCTCAGTAAGGTTTTGGTTTCATTTTTTCGAGTAATTATGTCTTTTAATTTTAAAATGAATCAGGTAATTAATACTGCTCAACAGTGCATAACGTAATGAAGCTGCAAGCGCACGGCTCTGGAGGTTTGTAGCGTCTCTTCACAGACTAGCTTTCTGGACTGCAGTGCTGAACGTAACATTGTTCCAGGACTGCATTTAACAAATCTTGTGATGAGTTTGGAGGCATTACTGCTGTTGCTAGCATTGCACTTGATTCATAATTTAATAAGATGACGCTTACAGTCTTCCATCCTACTGCACATTGTCTCAAAAGTAGTTAGAATCAATATTCACCTTTGTTGTGGGTTTTAAACGTGCAGCAGATAATCAGCAGCTCTGCAAACTCTGATTTGTGCATCTTGTATCAAAATCTATTTTGTATCCCTGTGCAACTAGCTTCCACTGAACGTTTTTCATTTCTGAGCACAGGAAGCATGCGGTGGGCACTGTTTTTCCTTTCTGTTTACCATACAGTACAGTCCCCACATAGTAGATTAACAGCAATTACAGTATTATGGTAGTGTTGCTGTGTGTTGTTCCTTGCAATCCTTTTTCATTTGTACAATATACACTATACAGTATATCTACCCATACAATAACAATGATCACATTTGCAGGAAATGATGGTGAACCCAGAGGCTGAGGACATCCTCTCATTTTTCTCTGTCAGTGCTTGAGAATATTCTCCTGACCACACAAAGTCTTCTCAGGTCTGCTGCTCACTACTTCCTTATGCATGAGCTGCGCCATGCTGCCGCCGCCGCCGAGAGACTAACTGTAGATGTGTAATGCTCACTCTTAGGACGAACAAAGTTGAACATTCAGTATTTATGCTGGCTGATGAAGAAACACTGTCAGCTACTTTCTGTGGACGATTTCCTTCTGCATTTGTTCTGGTCTTTTGACTCTGAGGGTGAACTCGCTCTTGGTGTGACGCAGAAAGTGTTGCATTTGAATATTCCGATGTTGCACTTTAATTTCATTCTTTAGCTGGTGCATTTTAGTAGCGCGGTTCTATGGACGGCAATGTCAGTCGGTGGTTCCACTGCTTTGCATCGTGCTGAAATATCTCAACAACAATGGGATTGATAGTGAGGGCCTTTTGTTCAGACATTGATGTTCCACAGAGGATAAACCCTAATGACTTTGGTGATCTGCTGAATTTTCCTCTAGTCACCACTGTGCATAAGTAGCATTATAGAGCCAAACATGTAATCTTGTGGCATAGTTTACAAAAAAAATGGAAAAAAGAGGGCGACTGTATTTGTGCACATATTAAGAATTCTCAATTTCTTTCACTTTTCAACATTCAACAGCTCCTTTTTTAACTTTGTTTGATCTACCAACACACACTCTCCCAGCTGACACAATTACCAATGTGTATGTGTCAAAATTATTGAAAGATATGGTTGACTAAAGAAATAAAGTGCTTTTTGAGTAATAACGGCAGTGGCTCTGTGTTTAGCACTGTAACCTCACAGCAGTTAGAAGCCTGACCTCTATCTTGGTGGAGTTTGTTCACTTGGTTTTCCTCCAGTGTCAACACATGCAAGTTAGGTGGTTTGAAAACTCTGTAGATCTGAATGTTGCTTGTATTCGCCTCAACTTCAGAACAATAAAAAGGGTATAAGACTTATTTACAAACAGCCCTTTTGCATCTTTAAATTCTTAGTTCAAAAGTGACGTACTCTCCTTTTTTCTTTACTCATCACTTTTCTGTCCGCTCTTTGCTCTTGGAAGAACATTTCGTGATCAAGGAAAATGCTACAGGCACCTATAAGCAATAGCCTTTTGCCTTTTTACAACTGTTGTATTTTTTATGAGGCTGTGTTGCTCTTCACCCTGAGTTTCCTGTCGATGAGTGCATCAGCAACATTGCTGATCATGTACTTCCACTATGGCTCAGACCTACGGCTCCTGCAAACACATTGATTTTTATATTTCTCATAGTCTCATATGATCTGGTATTGTTTATGCAGTATTTTGTTTCAGGAATGTTACTGAAATAGTGACATTTTTTAAATATACAACAAATTCCTTAATGTTTGTTGAGAGCAAAGAGTGCCTTCGGAGCAAAGATAACTTCATCAAAACAGTGTCTCTTCCTCTTCTTTGTCTTATTATTATTATTATTATTATTAATATTATTGGACTTTTTACTCCACTCTCACTATCATATAACTCACCTGCTCCTCTGCTATACCACATGACTGCTGATGTCAGGCAAAGTCAAGGCTGGGAACCTGTAGACAAAATGGTGCGTCCGTCCAGCAGAGTGAGCATGTGTGGTCTGTGTAGCCTAAGTGGGGAAGAAAGAAGGGGGGGACAACCACATAAACCACATAAACAGTTGATTAAAAACAACAACAACACAGTCTTTCCTGGTATAGCCCTGGTGTGTGTATTTTTTTTTATAGCACATGTCTTTATGAAGTTCATCAGCCATATGAGAAATTAGCCTCCGTACTCACCGGGGTCCTCCCACTCCTCTGTCTTGTTCTCTAATCCGCCCACATGTATCGTCTGAGGGAGAAAAAAATAGTGCAGAAGGTGACGCTCCTCCAAAGGAACAGAGAGAGGCACAGAGAGGGAAAGGCAAAGAGAGAGGTGTCTACAGGCTGCATCTCCATTGAAACATTTGCCAGGGGGAGACAGAGGAAGAGCTGAATGGTAGCTACACCCTGCGCCTGGAAGCGTAGAGACACTGTAACAAACGCTGTCAATTGTTTTTTTTTTGGCAATAACAAAGAGGTGGGAGAGGGGTCTCTGAAATCGAAGGAAATAGCAAAACAAAGAAGAAGCCAGTATTCAGGGGGACTTCTGCTTCATTTCATCCGAAAGACTCATCCCTTTTCCATCATCAGCATGACCATAAGCTATAGCCTAAGTCACATTCGGCAATAACGGTGTCAAAACGAGATTTTCAGCAACAGACGCGCGCAATCATATTCTGATTCATTATAATCGGGGGAGAAAAGAAACAACTGAATGCCTGCAAAAAAAAAACTGGATACTCTCTGAAATCATAAGAAAGAGCGATCTAACAAAGAAAACTACGTTTTGATTGATCTTTAGCCTTGATGTGCACGTTTCTGCACGCTCTCGAAACGCAACCTGAACCAAAAGCAAGTAAGTATTAACCGTGTCTGTGTATATGTCTGTATCTTGGTGGCTTTATTCTGCGTTTATCGTCTGTTAGCAGGTCATTTACTGGCCGGCTCTAATGGGGGGCGGGGGGCGTCTAGCCTACATTCAACAAGTATCGTTATATCCACAATAACTGCGATTTGTTGTTCTTCTGTTGCCTGTTTGTGTTTTGATCAATATCCGGAGAAATCAGAATGTGTGAACATTTTTCAAATTGGACTCGTACACCTCTTCACTGTGTTTTTGTTATTATTTCTAGCTGCTATAATACAAAGAAAACTCTACTTTTACGCTGTCAGATTTGATTAATCCACTGAAACAAACCGCTTCAAAATAATTCATTTTATAAACATTTCTCATTGCACAAATGGTGGGTGTTTCCTCATCTACATCATTGTCTGTCTGCGTGAGCAACTGTTTCCATGTGTGTATTGCTTTGTGCATTTGTGTGCATGCATTTGATTTACTTGCATGTGCCTTCAGTGTTTGTGTGCGTGTGTGTGCGTGTGTGTGCGTGTGCATCTGTGCAGCGTGGCAGCACTGTGCTAAGTGTCAAGGCCTGAAATGGAGGTTTGATAAAGGAGCCATAGGAGGAGGGTGAGAGGGCTGACACACAAACACACACGTGAGAGAGGGCGAGGAGAAGAAGGTGCGAGGAGGAGATGAATGGAGCAGAACCACAGCAAGGACATAGCATCACTGAGATCCAGGAAGTCTATGGGGGCAGTTGAATGTCTAGACGTGGTCTTCTTCCCCATACAACCCCCCCGCCATGACATCACCATTCCACTGCATTACACATAATGTCTGTAGTTTCATAACGCCTCTTCTTCCTTCACTTTCCAGCGCATGCCTCGCTTTTTCTGCCAACTGGCTCCAGCGTGCTCTTCCCCTGATGGGAACTCTCTTCTTCCATTTGCTCTCTCACTGCTTTCCCCCCTCCTCAATCCTGCATTATGAATCTACAGCTGGCGCTATTTTTAGATCGAGGGTAACCCAGAAAACACCCTTTTGATTTTAGCAAAAAGCTATAAAAAAAAAAAAAAAAAAGCCTCCCCACCAGAGACAGTGGCGCCCTGTCAGTGGATGTGATCGGTAGAGTAGTGATGGGGCTCGAAAGGAGGACGCTGCTGTTTAAGCAACGGGGGGGAATGAATCTATTTTGAGGCTGTGATTGAATTACGCTTCTGCCGTGTCTTGGGTTTGTGTGTGTTCTCTCCTCTGACCCTTCCTCTCTCCTTGGCCGCAATAGTTTCTCTGTCATCACACGTCTTCGAATCAGAGAACTCTCCCTCTGTCCTTCAACTAATTCCTTACCTGACTCTGCTTTTAAACCTTCTGTTTTACATCGGTGACCTTGAGGCTCACCTCCAGGCTCACCTTCCATTCCCTCTCGTCTCCTTTCTTGTCTACATTTCCTTTTGTTTTATTTCTTCACATTCAAAGCCAACTTCTCTCCCTCCTGTTGAGAGTCTTATCTGTGACTACCCCTCCTCTTTGTCTAATCGCTGGCTAGTTCACAGGTCAGGGGTCAGTGCAGTAATACTTCTCCCATCATCCCGTTTGTCTGTCTGGCCCTCTGAACCACATCACTGCGCTGCTGGATCATAATGGTCATAATCATGTAGTAAGGGCAGCATCCTTAATTAGGAGCAGACAGGTTTAAATGACTTAAGAGACAGTCGGGAGGTGTTGAGGTTAAAGCTATTTGCTCCTGATGTAAATTCTCTAAGAACCACATTTTAAATACTACGGGATAGCTCAGATTCATCCAGGTCCAAAAATATCTTTCCTTCCCGACATGAAACACTATCCCATTGCTCTTTTTTTTTTTTTTTTTGCCTGCACTCTGTTTCAGGATTTTTCTGACCTCTCCTACACCACTCACTGCCCCTTGAAGGGAACTCTAGAACTCCTCAATCTTTACCTGCACCCTGTCTCCTCCTGTCACCAGTGAAGTCTCACCCAGTGGGCATATCTATCCCAGAAATCTCAACATGTGTCCTCCTGTGGGCAGAAATGATTTAGTCATGGACACTTGCTGGGCTTTCAGAGCTCTATTACAGGCTTCATTTCTGCAGGTCTATTCCTGAAACTGGCCTTATGTATTAATCATCCCCAGCCAGCTAAAAGGAGCAAACCAGGAGCACATGATTCTTTTTTTTTTCTCAAAAAAAGAAAGTGGCTGGAAGTTACCATAGCAAGTTCCTCAGAGGGCTGGGGGTGATTGAGCAGTATGCACAAGTGCTGCAGTATGTGTGGATTGGTCAGCCCCTGGAGATTTCCACGTGGAGTAGAGGAACTGCCATTTCCTTTCTGCTTGCTTAATTGATTGGCTATTTAATTCATGTTCTGGGAATTGGCCACCGGTGAGCTTTATTGAAAGAAATGCCTTGTTTTTTCTCTCCTCTGTGTACATCAGCTGTCTCAAAGCTACTGGGTCATTGTGTGGCCTTGTTCTCTGTTTTTTCCTGCATACGCACCTTGTTTTTTTTTTTGCTCTCCATCCATTCATGACAATCATCTCATTTTCATTCTTATTCATTCATTCCACCTATACCTCTCACCACTATCCTCACACTCACGCACACACCTATCTGGCTCCTACCCTCCTGCCAGAATCAGAGTTACACCATGAGGTGCAATGACAATTGGAGAGGGGAGAGGACACTGTGGTGTGACACCGCACTAAAAGGGGAGGTGACCGCAGTGCTTTCACCGCGCTGCAGTGCCTCGCTTTCTCCTGTTGGGGTCTCCTCAACACCGGGGAGTGTGAGAGAGAGGAGAGGAGAGTGAGATAAGGTTGAGATGAGGGGGAGAGGAATGAGGAAAGGAGGGAGGTGATATGGGGGAACAGCGTGAAGCCTTGTGGTTACATCCTTGATGAGGTAGCGGGTGGGAAAAAAATGGCTGCGCACCAGAAACACATACGTAATTCTTGCTATCGCTCTTTCACACACACACACACACACACACACACACACACACACACACACACACACACACACACACACACACACACATTCATACGTTAAACACTTGCCTGCAAAGCCCTCATTTTCCCCAATGGTACATTTGCCATTTAGCTCAACTTTGTGTCTGTTTTACATCCCTACACGTTATCCTTCCTCTCCTCCTCTTTAATCATCAATGTTTCCATTCCTCTTCTTAGTATTGCAGACCATTTCTAACCCCCCCCCCCCCCCGACTCCTCCTACACCTTTACATCCATTCAGGTGCTATCCTGCGCCACTGCAAGGTCTTTTTTTGTCCTCTCTGTCTCTTGCCCCACCTTTTTTCTCTCCCCTGTTTCATTTCCCCCCAGACTGCTCATTTCCCCTTCTCTCCTGCCTTACACTTCCCCCCTACTCTCTCTATCCTTTTCTCACCTTAACTGTCCTACATACCTTCTTCTCTCCTCCATCTTATCTCCCTCTCCATATCTCCCACCCCACTCCCCCTCTGTGATTCGTAACGTTTTTTTGCTTTTTCTGCCAACTGCTGGGTCTGTTCCGCATAGTCAGCACTCCTCAAAATTCCTCCCTTGCCTCCTCTTTCTGTCTCTCCCTCTCCCTCTAGCGTGCGCTCTCCTCCCCTCCCCCCGGTTACTGCTGCTGGTACTTCACAGTCAATGCATCCTATAATCCCGAGCTCCCTCCCCCTCTTGCTGCAGTGTTTCTGCTAATATATATTAGCGTCAGTGCAGCCGTCGTGCGCAAGCCGTGTGCACGCTCTTTCTATCCCCCAGCCCTGTTCTCTCTATCTATCTGTCCACTGCAGAGCTCCTCTCCTCTCTCTAAACGTTCAGAATGAATGAGCCTCATTTCGCCCTCAACATGCTTTTCTTAGCCCGTTTGTTGCAGCCAGGTGAGTGTGTGTATGTATGCGTCTCCCTCCCTCCCCTCTCCTCTCCCCTCCTTCTCACTACCTCTCCTCTCGTGTATATGCAGTGGTGAGGCAGTAGTAGCAGGGTGGCGCAGGACATGGTGGCCAAGGCAGGAAATGCTGCAGGGGAGAGAAAGAGAGCTGGTGGTGGAGATTGTTCCTCCTCTCTGCACACCCCCCTCCCCTCTTCCCACTTCTCCCTCAGTTTTTAGCCTCTTCCTCATTCTTCATTCCTTTCTGCATTCCTTATCAGCTCTGTGCTTTCTCCACTGGATCTACACCCCCTGTTCAGCTTCTTTAGCTTCAGTCCCCCCTCCATACCTCTCCTCCTCATGTTTTCCCCACTCCTCTCTCTGGTTGTTGTTTTTTTGCGCAATTGCACTGCTGTCAATGATTAAAGTGCTGAGGCAGGCTCTTAAAAACTGAAACTGTGGACATTTTCCTGAAATGCAACTACAGAGCATTGAACTCACTTGCTTTGAGCTCATCAAGATCAGTAATCAGATATGTAGCTCATCACAGTTACTTTAACTTAAACTTCTCACAAATTCTAGTTCTCAGGAAAGGTAGAGGAACCTAACAGCGCCCTTTCCAAATGAACCTCTAATTAGTTTTTATGAAAGAATACATAGGTACATTTAAAAAATCAGTAAGCTCATCACACATGACTCAGAGGGAACAAAAAGGCATCTACCCGCAGTTACAGAGTTGTGGCTGTCCGTGTATAAAACATTGAGCAGTTCACAAATAAGCTACAGCTGCCTATGAAGTAGAAGTAAGGGGCGCAGGGGCACTACAAAGTGAAACCAGAAAAAAACTCATCCAATGAATGAAAGTTCCACAGTGAGATAATAGAAGTTGCTTCTTGAAAGTTTAGTATCCCGTAAGAGGAGAGTTTGTCCCAGAGAGAGAGAGTAAGAAAGCGCCACTGTCCATGGTGCTGAAATATAATCCATCCCACAACACCAGCGGTCCCTGCTGGAAAGCCCCACAGGAAGATGTTTTTACTCTCTGACTGCCTGACCTCACTTCCAAGTTGTTCAGTTTTAGATTTTATTGCCTCTCATTACTTCCTTATTAAATTCAAATAGTCCTAATTTATTAGTTTGTAGTTGGAGAAATACAGAAAACTACTTCTGCAGAATGATGCAGTACTCTGAAACTCATGAGTGCAGAATATTTTTTTGTCAAGCAAGCATATTTGATGCTCCTGCGGAAAACACAGTGAATACTACTGGATATTTTAGATAAAGTAGAGGTTTCAGGCTTCAGTGTCTTGATTTTTCTGCATATACAATACGTACATTTTTGTTAGCTGTGCACAGTATGAAATATTTGTGCTTTAATGTCTCTGAATTCTGACTGCATACCCATGCAATAGCCTTGGCCTTAGTAGATCTTACCTGAGTGTTGTTAAGTCCAGGAGTTTCAAAAATGAAAAAAAAAAGAAAATTTTTGCACCAAAAAAATAAATAAATCTGACAAAATAAAGAAACGTAATGTCAATATAAGATCTGAAAGAGAATAGGGAGACGGCAAACTTTTCCTGAACAAAAAGTTGTTTCTTCAGATAAGAAGTAGTAAAGTGAGTAAACACCAACAACAAGTAAGAAAGACTGCAGTGAAAGGACATGAAAGGAAGCAAAAGTCTGAGGGAAAAGAGGAAGATTGATTTGACCCAAAGTGAAGGAAGCTTACTTTGGTAAAGGGAACGAATGGGACAGCAGTATGAGTGAAGCGAAATGGCAGACAAATGCAGAGTAAAATGCAGTAAAGAAGGGGGGAGAAAGAGAAGAAGAAAAGAATGGCAGAAGGGCTATGAATGGGAAAAGGACCAGGGTTGTGAGAGGAGGAAGAGGAGAGAGAAATGAAGCCTTGATTCTCCTCCTTCAATGAAATGTGATTCCTTTATGCGGAAGATGAGAGCGAGCGAGGAAGAGAAAGTGAGGGAGAGAGAGTAGTAGGAGGGAGAGGGGGAGGGCCAGTGAGAGCTCACAGGAGAGGAGGGGGGAGGAGGAGAGTGGTGCATTTCTTTGAATAGAGAAAAAGGTTAACAACATAGATGCTGCGCATGTATGGGCTTTCTTGCTGTGAATGCGTGTCTTTTCTGAAGCACCATGAGCCCCCCAGGATGGCAACGCAGATCAAATAATTTGACCTCGGGAGAAGAGAGAGAGAGAGAGAGAGAGAGAGAGAGAGAGAGAGAGAGAGAGAGAGAGAATAACTGTGGCTTTTTACTGCAGCAGAATTCATTCACTTTTATAGTGCACTCTCCTTTTCGCTGCTCTTCCCCCCTCCGACACTCTCTCTTCAGCCCCCTTCCTCCATCAATAGGGGGAGAGACAATATTACACCTGCTGTTCCCTGAGTGTACTGCATTCACTTTCTTTCCCTCCACATCTCCCCCTCTCTCTCTCTATCTCTCTCTCTCTCTCTCTTTTCGTCCTCATCTTCGGGTCTTTGTCTGAGCCTGCCTTGTTTTCCTGATTTTCCCGCTTTTTCGATCCTTCCATTAAAAATCTGATTTATGGCCTCCCCCCAACCTCCCTCTCTCTCGCCCTCTACCTCTTCTCGATCTACATGTCTTTACACACACACACACACACACACACACACACACACACACACACACACACACACACACACACACACACACGCAGTGCATGGGAGAAGTGGCAGAGAGAGCATTGACATAATTGTGCATCGCATGAATCTCAGTGCGGTTGGAGGGGGCTGCAGCAGTGTGTGTAGCACGCACATAGGCTGATTGAGGAGATCTAACATTAGTACGGACACCGCACTCTCGGGAGGCAATTAACACCTACACACACACACACACGCACACACACACACACACACACACACGGTGCTGCGCCACCTTACGTCAGTCAGGGATTCTTGGGAAAGGGGGAAAATAAGCAGGGTGAAGGATATCCACGTCTCCCCACTTCCTCCCATCTTTCTGTCACTGTTTTCTCCGAACACATCTTTGGGTGCTCGGAAGCAGGGTTGCTGCATGTGGGGAGGGGATTGGGATGGGGAGGGGGGTGCTCAAGCTTCGCAGTGGCCTAATAAGGGAGTGGATTTGAATGTACACTGACATGAGCATTGACCATATCAATGCCACAGTGATGGCTGGAAAAACTGTACAGCAGAGAGCATAAGGGATGGGACCCTGGCAGTCACATCGCAATAGCTGAAAATACCTTATTATCACTGTGGTGTCAACAACCAGCCTGTGAGGATGCTGACCCATGAATGTGCTCACCTGCTGTCATATGATGCACTGATAAGTAGAAGGATCGTTGTGCTCCAGGATGCTGTGTTAAAAACAACTTCGCCACCCCTTGTTTCCCCAGCTCCCCCCTCTCAGTCACTGCACCTGCACAAGGTCGTTCTGTGCCCTTCCACCAGCTGATTATCAAGTGAATAATTGCACATACAGCTGGCTTCAGCGCGAGACTCTTATTCGTATTGCAATGTTGATAATCCACATCTATTTCTCCCTTCTTCTAAAATTTCTGCCCCTTTTTCTCCCTCCGCAGACTCCTCAGACTCCTCCCTCCTCCTCCCTTCGGTTTCTCTCATCCTCTCCCTCCCCCCCCGGTCCTCTATGCTCAGTTCGGTGTGTGTATCCTCTTTCAAAGGGCGCAAGGGTGGGAACAAGTCGTCCAACAAAGCATGTTACAGCGCAGACATGACTTGTCCGTCGGAAAGCGAGAAAATCGTGATAAACTGCGGAGGGGTGCGGCATGAGACCTACCGGAGCACCCTAAAAACGTTGCCTGGCACCCGCTTATCGTGGCTCACCGAGGCGGACGCGTTCAGCAACTTCGACTACGACCCCAAATTAGACGAGTTCTTCTTCGATAGACACCCGTCAGTGTTTTCCTTCATCCTCAACTATTACCGCACTGGGAAGTTGCACTGTCCCAACGATGTGTGCGGTCCCCTGTTTGAAGAGGAGCTGGCTTTCTGGGGTATCGATGAGACGGACGTGGAGGCGTGTTGCTGGATGAATTACCGGCAGCACCGGGATGCGGAGGAGGCATTGGACAGCTTCGAGAATCCAGAACCAGACGCACCGGACGACGAACCGGCGCTGGGCGGTGCGGATGGGGACTTGAAAAGACTGTGCATGCAAGAGGACGCGAGGAAAGCGGGCTGGTGGAAAACCTGGCAGCCCCGAATATGGGCACTGTTTGAAGACCCATATTCCTCCAAATATGCCCGGGTGAGTTACGTCTCTCCTGGAGGGACCAACTTGTTTATGTGCTGTTGCATATTCTGCCTCATGATGTCTCACAGCTTGAGTCATGATAAGTTTTTGAAACTTTTTTTTTTTTTTAAATGTTCTGTCCACATTATCATTGAAACCAGTCCGTCAAAATTAACTGCAGGCTGACTGTCGGTCCCTGACAGGATAGCTTGCATTAAATAGCAGGATATAGAGCTATACTGGTATTGAATAATTAATGCTGATAGCATAGGGAAAATGGAAAATGGTATGGGAGCTATATTTATTGGTAGATAGGTATAGATTGTACAACAACCAAAGGTTTTGTCAAACGCAACACATCCATGTCTTATACTTGATATATTACATATTTCAGACCAGCTGGATTCACACCGAATACCGTTTTATTGCTATCACAATTCCTATCGTTGTATCCTGCTACTTGAGAAGGTTTAATACATACCTGTCTCTAAACGTGGCACCCGCTGCGCCTCCTGCATCCAAACGCCCTCATTAGGTCACATTTGTCCGTTTACGATGCACATCAATGCGCCGTATTTCATAGTCTTATTTATTGTAGCACTGCGCTGCTCATACGACGCCGATTCGTCAGTGTTGAAGTGCATGTCTTTCCCCACATATGCCCTTGGTACTACAGTCTGCTGGGTTGTTTTTTGCCAGTCCCAACCCCTCTCCCTGAATGCTACATGGCTTTTACGCACGGGCTTTATGCTGTTACGCACAACTCGCTCCTATTTTGGAATACCCTTTATTGTTTTCGTGTAAATACTTCATGATGTATATCTTAAAAGCAAACGTTTGACAGCATTTGATCACACAGGTGTACGAGTAACAAGTACTCCTCACTGTGTTTTTGATCTGTGGTACATGGAAACAGTTACAGTGGGCTTGTGGTTCTTTTTTTCTCAGACCCTCCAGTTACAAATGGAACCAGCTGCTTGATCACAGCTGCTTTGATTTGTGTTTTAGTGATTTAGTTTGATCACCCCTGTCTTGCACCCTGTCTAGTACTATTTAGCTGTTATGAGGGTGTGTGAGGACCATTGGATACTGTGGATGCATGCCCACTGTAGGTGCACATGCAAAACCAGACGGTCAGCTGAGACCTGCAGTGGCCAATTCATGCCATCACGCTGAAAATAGCTTTTGAAAAAAACATCTTAAAATACAAATCACTGCACACTCAGCAATACATACTGTATCTATAATCACTGATGAAGACAATCGCTGCACACACAGGCTGCTACTCTCTATTCCCAAACACACACATACACACACACACCCCAGGTGTAGATCTACATACCTGGATTCAGTATCCTCCGAAGGAAGAGTAAAGTGTTGGGCTGTGACAGGCTGATCCGCCTCTCTGGACTTGGGATCAGGCAGGAAGGGCTTCTCTAAGTGTCACTCTCATCCCGATTGGATTGATTTCTCACTATCCCACCCATCTTTTCCTCTACTCAATGTAACAAAACAGCACATAGTGGTGTGATTCTTTGCAGAATATCCAAGTGTTGCATGAGAGGGAGATAGCTTCAGGGTTTGGATTTTCAAATTAAATAATGACAGGAGCAAGGCAAAAAAAAAGGTGCTTGACATGTTTCTGGAAAAATAAATGGATTTGGTGCTGAATTCTAAATGATCATTCAGCACGAAGAGGCATCATTTGCAGCATTGCCATACCTTGGATTCAAGCTACTGTACCTGCTGCCTTGCCGCTAGAATGCTGTATATTATGTAATGATCAGTTTTACACCACATCCTCTGGTTACAGTGGCCAAGAGCTCATGAATCATACAAAAACATCCAATGAGTGTAATGGTTGCAGATAGTGGTGTTTGTGACGGCACGTTGGGGTTATGCAGGGTAGGTGCAGGTAGTAGGTGGGATTCATTTCAATGGCTGCAGCTCTTTTTGTGGGTGAACACAGCCCTGTTTCTCTCTGTAGGTCTAATCTGATCAAGCGCTATACGTCAAACAGCGTTGTGACCCAGATCACTTGTTTTTTTTTCCACCCTCGCTCTTTCTGAAAGCATTATGTCCAACGTGGCAGAACCTCTTGGTCTTTTCGGTCCTGTGGGATGCAAATTATATGTGGAGAGAAAAAAACGGAGAGATGGAGAGAGGCTAGGACAGAGGGAAAAAAAAACGAGATGCTGATGTGGAAATACAATGAGACAGATGAGAGAGAGAAACGGAGAGAGGAAGCGGGAGACGAGAGGAAATAAAGGGAGGCAGAAGCAGAGACGTTACTCTAATGATTTAAGGGGTTTTTGTTTGCATGGCTGTAGCACATCAGCAATCAATGTTTTGATCAGAGCGTTTCGACACGCATGCGGGGCTTTTTTCTTAAAAAAAAAAAAAAATCCCCACCTCCTCCGCTCATGATCATCTGAAGCTCGATCGGGGATCTACCGTAGCAGCACACACATGTACAAACACACATATGCTGGTGTCTGTGCTGGCTTTTCTGCTGCAGTAGACACGGGAGAGAGGAGGGGGAGCACTGGAGGAAGAGAAAAGAGGTGGAGTGGGAGTGAGAGGGATAGACGGAGCGAGGGAAATGGAGAAGGGGTGAGATAGTGGAGGAAAATATAGAGGGTATTGTGATAAACAGGGAGGAGGTGACACCCACAGGGAGAAAGACGTTGTATGATGGGGGTGGGGACCCTTGTCTTAGCATCTTCGATTATCTGTGAAGGCTTGAGCTATCCAATCTTCCTACCCAGCCCTCCTGCCTGCCTATTGATTGATAATTAATTGATTATCTTCTCTTTTGTCTATTTTTAAAGCCATTTTCTCTTCCTCTATCACCTCCTAAAATCTGAGAATGCTCACAAAGACTAATGCTTGAATGGTAACACAACCGTTAACACATTGACAAAATGTGTGGATGTATATGTTTCTGTTTGATGAGGTGGTATACAATATGATTTGCGACTGATTTCTTATTGATCTGTGCTCGGTTGACAAAGATCTTGCAGTGCAGCCAAGACGACATAGAGCTGTTCTATGATGTTTGACAGATTTTGATCTACTATCTTACTGTGTTAAAGTATAGTCTGCCTTAATGACAATGATCCTAATCGAATATCCAAGGATCCATCATTATTGACGGTGGTTATTGTGTTGTATGTTTTTTGTCATTGAAGGTAATCTAATTTGATGTAATCACTTGACACTGTCTTGTCAAACGAAGTTAGAAGTTAGAAAAATGAAATGGTACAATTACTGAAAGGAATATATAGAAATTTTGGATATGTCAGGTGTTACAAGTTAAATAAGCATAAGTAAACAAAAAAAATCTTTAAGTGAGCGTTGACCAGTCAATATTGGACATCACAAGTCTGAATGATGGAGGTAAAGCTGAGTAAATGCTGCACACATTAATACAGTGTCATTTCTCGCACAACGGAAAAAATGAGATGCTGAATTTTCTAAAAGCTATTTGTTTTTTTAAAGTATTTTGCCAAACTTATCTTAATCCATTGCTGATTATCTGTATGGTGCCCTATACTGTCGCGCCACTGTCCCACAGGTTTAGCAGTTTTGGTCACTTCCAGTTTCGCATCAGAAGTGCACGGTTGTCTTTCTCAGCAATCTCCTGACAAAGCACCATTTGTAGCTCAGCATGTACAAGATGCCCCTTTGCCCCCCCCTGTGCCTGTATTTGGTTCATTTTCGGGGGAGCAGCACTGTGTCCGGAGCCCCCCTGTCCCTGAAGGTCATGTCTTAAGGTTCATTGTTTTCTGTCCTTTTTCCACAGTGCTCGAGCTCACCATGCTGTCACAAACACAAATGTGACTGCCGTTGTGCCGGATGGCCTAAGAACATGTTGTCTCTGGGTAGAAAACCACTGTGGGGGAGAGAAAATAGAAAAGAAGATGTATTGATAGGCATCAGTGTATATAGATATGATGTTGGGTGGAAAAGGAATTGGCCTATAGGCAGGGTTTCGGTGATGTTTCCATCTTTGTCTGGGAAATTGTGATACATTTTTAGGGGAGTTCATGAGACAGAGAAGATGAGTTCTGTGTGGGGTTGGAAATACAAAAGTAAAGTTTTTACTTCTCCAACTTGCCATTTAAAACACCTGTGTTTAAAGCATGATTTTGCTATTAATCATTATCAGACTCATTTATGCTAGGACACTTCTAATTTCAAATAGTCTTGTGACTAATTGTGTTTGCCCCAGAGCCACGTACAGAACCTCCCGACTCTAGTCAGAGCTTCATGGGAACTGTGGGGAAGGTGACAGCAACCCTGGACTCTACCTTGCCGTATTCCTGCGTTACTTTTTCTGTTTACCCATTAAGCTCAGCTTTGGCAGCGTCCCGGTGTTCGCAATGATGTGAAATCGAGATGATGGTGCTCTTTTGTAAACTGAAAGGTCTTTAGCGCGTTGAATTGAACTTTTACTTTCAGCGGTGGGGTTTGGTATTCGTGCTTCCGAGCTGTTTCCATTGAAACCCTGACCCCGCTGAAAGGCCTATTTACCACTTCCAGTCTGGTGCCTCTCCCCGTGGGCTGCATCTGAGAATAGCAAAGAGAGGAAACGGAGGCCTTAATTTCATTCGCTGGTGGCAAATCTGTTCCTCCATTACTGATGAGAGGATGAGACTATGTACTTGTATAACCATTTAGTGCATAAGAAAAGACGGAGGGAGATATTCTTAAGTGCTCACCAAGTTTATTAAGGTAAACTGTTTTCCTCAAGCAGTAGCTGCTGGCAAGGGCGTGATAATTAGTCAACCTGCCTCTCCTGTGCCTCCAATTGGTAAATGTATCGTGTTCTGTTTCAATTTTCCCTGACAATGTTTTGTACCGCAGGCCTTCTCATGTTGTGTTTGCATCCTCGGAAGTCACAGTCCCTCTGTTTGTAACTTGAGCACTGTCTGTTGGCGATACTTTACTGGATAGACGCTTGATGTCTCATAACAGGGGCAGAGACATGATCTCTGTTTTAAATAAGTGGG